CCACCCCCGCTCGCTCCTGCCAGCAGGCGCCCCCGCCCCCCGCGGCCAGCCAGGCAGCCCAGAGCCAGTCGGCGCGCGGAGGGAGCGTGAGTGAAGCCCGGCGCCTTTCCGAGCCGCCGCAGCAGCATGGCCGGTCCCGGAGCCCTCTGCTCCGCGTTCGGGCTCTGCAGCATCCTGAGCCTCTGGGCTCTGCAGGCGCGGGCAGCGCAGCGGCAAGAGGACACGCTCTACATGTGGATTGATGCGCATCAAGCCAGAGTCTTGATAGGTAAGTGTCCCCCTCCCCCCTCCCGCCTTAGCCCCGGCTCTTTGGTCTGGTCAGTGTCTCCCTGGAGGTGTTGCGGAAGCGTGTTCCTGAGCCCCACGCATCGCCCTGCCCCGGGGCTTCGCAGGGAGTCGCTTCTCCGAGCAGTTTGTGGAACCTGCCCGAGTGGGGCTCCTGCCGAAAGGAGGGCTCCTCCCTCCGTGCACATGCACTTCAGCTCCGGGTGTTGTTTCAGTGAAAACAAAATGCTAGTGGAAACTTCAGGTGTTTCAAACATTACTGTCCTGTGTCGCCTAGGGAAGCCCAGTGATTAGTCTTCCCAAGGAGTCGGTGATAGTGAGAATAAACATTCTCCACTGTAAATGTTTTTCGGCATAATCCTGCTCCAATTCCCTCTCTTTCTAGTCTGTTTATTGTTGTTTTACAGGCTTCGAAGAGGATATTCTGATTGTTGCAGAGGGGAAAATGGCCCCATTCACTCATGATTTCAGAAAAGCCCAGCAGAGGATGCCAGCTATTCCAGTCAATATCCATTCTATGAATTTTACCTGGCAAGCAACAGGAAGGGTAGGTACAGACTGAGATTGGAAGAAGGAAAAAAAACCCTCTTTAAATATACTCAGCAGAAGCAAATGTTTAGTTTTTACTTTAGAATATTTTAAGAAACCATTTCTGATATGTGCCAAAAGACACTAAGAATGAGCCCTTGATTTAGAATCACCTGCTACAGGACTTATTTCTCTAGCAGGGAAAACATATAGTGCTTAAAAAAGAAAAAGAATGAGACAGTCCCTAATCCAAATAATTTATAAACTAATTAAAACAACAAAGTAAGGGGCAACATTGTTGATGTGAAAATCAACATAAAGGAAACTATTGGAAGAAGTACATTTTAAAATGACATTTTAAGGAGGGTATGTTTTCTTTACTGAAAAACTAAGGATAAAAGAACCCCAACAAGATGAGCACGATTAGACAACACAAGCTCATGAGGAAGACATTAGCTAGCCTTAAATAAAATTTTACAGATCAGCAGTCCATAACGTTGCTACAGTTATTTAATTTTTTAAAAAAGCATACAGTTTTAGCATATGGAGCTCTACTATGAACCATTTATTAAACAGACACACACTGTTTCAATATGCATAGTTGTGTTAAAATAGCAGCTGTGTTGCATGTAGATCTGTTTCTACAAAGTATAATGACAAAACTGTGCAATGTTGCAATCTATTTATTTTCTCTATTTTTTGCCCTGAAAGATAAAAATGTGTGACATACTTTCACGCACAATTTGACAGATTGGAAAATATGTAACATTTGCATAACTACATCATGTTTCTCCAAATTATCATGGATACTGAGACATATTCAGCTTAACAGAAAATAATTCTAAATAAAAACCTTTTTTAAAAAAGCAATCTGTGCATTTTAGACAAGTGAATGCTCAGTCAAAAAATCACATATTTTTCAAAATATTTAGTGAAAATTGCTTATAAAGTTGTCCAAACTATAGCTACAAATTTTCATTTACTTAAAAATATTCATTGTTTGCAAAATGATCATTTATGAGTTAGGAAATCTCTTACAGCAAGTGTCAGACCCTTGTATCTATGGCCCCATGACTTATAGTATCAGTGTTTTGCACTCTTTAATATAATCATTGTCACAACAACCCTCTGAAGTAGGGAAGTGCTACACCTCTGTTTACAAGTGGGGACCTTACTGGGTAGTGGGACTGAAACATCAGAGAGAGCCTTATTCCCTTCCCCTATCCCTTTTTTTCTTTAATGCTCTAAGTCACCCTCTTCTACAACTCGGCAAACACTTTGCTGGGAAGGTATGATTGTAACATTTGAAATGCATGGCACTCCTCACATGCTTAAAGTTAAGCATGTGTTTACTAACTCTTTTGGATTGGGGATAGAGATGTAGCGGTGTTAGTCTGGCGTAGCTGAAGCAAAATGCAGGACAATGTAGCACTTTAAAGACTAACAAGATGGTTTCTTAGATGATGAGCTTTCGTGGGCCAGACCCACTTCCTCAGAAGTGGGTCTGGCCCACGAAAGCTCATCATCTAAGAAACCATCTTGTTAGTCTTTAAAGTGCTACATTGTCCTGCATTTTGTTTTGGATTGGGGTGAGAGTATTCAGATATTTGCAGGATCAAATCCCATTTGAATTGTGACAATTTAATTTATTTACTGAAATCCTATTAGTTAAAACTGTTGACATACATACATATTTTAAAATTTAAAAAGTAGCTAATCTACAGTTTCAGTGGCTGCACACCTACTATTTGAGTATCTCCTATGTCAGAATTAGAGCAGAACTGTAAAATGAGTTTAATACGTCAGGTAAAAAAAATTAAGATGAAAGATTTAGTTAAGCAGAAAACATAGCAACTATTTAAGGAGCAAAATGTGGACTTTTTAAGGTAAGATAAAACAAAAATGATTGAAAAAATAACATATGGAGTTAAAGTACTATAAACAAACTTAACTTTATCTCACTCCTGTTTCTAAAGTAGTATTAGCTTTCAGTCATGAGTCAAATAAATGCTCAACATAATATAGGCTATTAATTTGGTGGAAACATATAATCCTGTTAGTACTACTTAAAACTAACTGCCCCTGTCCACCTCCATCCTGTGCATACAGAGTATGTATATTTGGGCAGTTTGTTCCAATGGTTGTGGATATTTAAACATGAAGTACCAGTGCAGATTAGGTGAAAAGCTCTGTCACAGCCCAGACCTCAGGGGTGACTATGGTGACTTTAACCTGTGTCCTTCCAATCTTGGGCTGTGCGAAGGGCTGGCGAGCCCCTTGGCATAATTGCCTGGGGAGCCTGTCTTAAATTATGGCAACCTCGGGGTTGCCCTGTAGGCTGCAGTGCTGCCTGAAATCTCCATAATAGTATGTGTCATGGCTCACCCTCCAGCATGCCATTCCTGCCCTAGTAGGTCCTTATGTCTGTTTTCCACAGTTTCTGTACCTAGGATATCTTCCTATGGTGGGAACCAGGGATTTCTGACAATTTCTATTCTTGCCCTTTTATCTGGGGTAAAGAGATTGGTGCCAGAATAATGGTCTTGCCCTAGATCTTGTCAGTCCATTGAGAAAGCAGCAAGGTCAACTAACACTGTACTGCATCTAGCACAGTGGGATCCTGGTCCATGACTAGGGTTCCTAGGTGTTATGGTAAAATAAATAAATAAGAATGGTAATTTTGAAATAAAATGTACATGCACCTAACTTTACTGGATGGTGCCCTTAGTGGCTGTGCTAAGAGGACACCACTAAGGTTGTTTGTGGTAACAAAACTCCATTTTTACAATATTTCCAACATCTGTAAAAAGGTTTTACTTTAAAATTCACATTTTTGAATGTTTTATTATAAATGTAAGTTCTTTTACAAATATCCTTTGCATGCTCCAAGTAAGTACTATGTTTGAAACCTTTGCTCAGCTTTAGTTTTTGTTTGATTAGTTATTTAGCTTTTTGATAACCCTATCAAGGAAAAAAAGACCAATATACTGTTGTTATACAGAAAAATATATTAACCATAAATAGTAGACTACCTCCTAATAGCATTAATTAGCTCATCATGGTGCTCTACTTGCTAGAACTACAGCCACATGTGTGTCTTAGGATTTCTTGTGATCTTTGTACCCAGATGGTTCTGCCTCAGAGCTATGCAGGAGTTCTTGGGGAGTTCCAGAGCTCTTGGGACAAATGAATTACACAGTAGCATATGCATGGTTTCTGATATGTGGTAGAAACCATGCATATGCTATTTGTGCAGCTCCTGAGTCCCAGGAGCTCCAACAGTTTGGGTCAATTCTCTGCTACTGGCGTTCCAGTTTACACCTATGCCATGAGGATGTAAAACACTAATGCATTTGAATGGAAGTGTTTACATCAACTTTGCACAGAAGTAACAATGACACAAGGTACAGGGCAGTGGAGAACCTGCCCCAGCGTCTGGAACCGCCTTATAGTCCTGCATGGCTGGGTAGGTCAACTCCCAGTCAGACCTTTACATGCTTATTCAGATGAGCAATTTACATTTTAGTGACTGGATTATTCTTGTGTTTTGTGTAAATTGGTTTAGCAGTGCTGAACAAAGTCACTAAATGTAAAAGCCCTATTATAATCTTTGCAGTTGGACATTTTTATATTTTTTGGGAAAATATCTCTTTATAGGCATTGTCAAAGACATTTTCATGAGAAAGTGAAAAATGTGTGTTTCATTTAATTGTTGAGCAGCTCACTGGGAATAACGATCTTCAAAAATTATGACAAATTTTGTGGGAGGGAGAAATAAATTAAGAGCCTGATACACTGTTACCCTCAAGACTCAGTGAAGTCAAGAGGAGCTGCGAGCACTAAGCACCTCAGTAGAAGTGCTCAGTCTATTGAAGGATAGGGACCTTATTTATTAAAATTCCACCCAGTATTACCTGTGCTGTATAAACTTCATAACAGCTGTTATTCTGTTTAAAAAAAATGTACTTCAAAATGTTGTACAGATGTTCTCTGTGTTAAAAAAACACTAAGTTCTCACTGGATAATATTGTACAATGCATACATCTGTGTAACCCAGGGTGGGCTCAGTAGGGGCTGCATACAGCTCATCAAGCAGGTTGATCTGGCCCGCAGACGTTCTGCCGCTCCTGTATCCCCAGGCCAATCAGGGCCTCCTCCCCTGCCAGGGGAGCACAGTACTTAAAGTGAACTGCAAGCTGTTCAGCTGGCGGTTCACTCTAAGCACTCCATTCCCCTTGAAAGGGCAGGGGCAGGGAGTGAGAGAATTCTGATTGACCTGGAGGCGGGCACTTAGAGGGAACCACCAGCTGTTCAGAACAGCTGGCAATTCTGTCTGTGAGGGTATGTCTACACTACCCCCCTAGTTCGAACTTGAATTTGAATTTCCCGGGCTTCATTTGCATGAAGCTGGCCGGCGCCATTTTTAAATGCCGGCTAGTTCGGACTGTGTGCCGCGCGGCTACACGCGGCACAAACTAGCTAGTTCGGATTAGGCTTCCTAATCCGAACTAGCTGTACACCGAATTAGCTGTATACCTCGTTCCACTAGTTCCACTAGTTCCCTAGTTCGAACTAGGGGGGTAGTGTAGACATACCCTGAGGGAGCAGGGGCAAAGATTTCACATGCCCTCCCACCCCCAGGCCAATCAAGAGTCTGTGGGCAGGGAGCATAGAAGTGGCCTGGCCCTGCCCCTTCTGCCCAAAGCCCCATCCATGCCTGGGCCACTTCAAAAATTTGTGACGTGGCCCCCCCCTTCTAAACTTAAGGCCTACCTCGGGTGTAACCATGAGAAGTCACTGGTGTTGCTTCATTTTTGCTTTCTGTAGATTTTTGCAAAAGAAGGTACAAGTGACTTGTGGGTCCATTCTTCTCTCAGTGCTGCGGGATGTGTGTGCGGAGCCTTCCTAATTTGGGGAAAAATAGACCCTTCTGTGCTAAGTTATGCTTCTGCATGTTTTTTTACACACTGGAGGAAAGTGCTATGGCATGCTATTGGTGGTACCACTTCAGCAGTATTT